CCCTATTGTCACCCTCTCGTTTACCCTGCACCTGGCAATAGGCTACAACAACTGCTTCTCTGACAGGGTGATAGATGCAGTCAAACTGTTGTTTCTCTCGTCCCTGAACATGCTGTCCTGTGAGAGAATTTCTGCTGCTGGGGTTGACGGGCTTCTGAGAAGCTTTCCCAGGTTGCTGCGGGTAAAGGCGGAACGAGGGAAGGTAACTGAGAGGACGGGCAGGGTACCTAGTGCAGCAGCGCATTGTTCGCTCGTCCTTTCTTTTCCATCCGTACCCATCTATCTTGCCTCCCTCCACCCCCTCATTGTCGTGCCCCTACTTCCCACCCTACAGGAGATACAGCGGCATGGACGTGCGGTCAGTTGGTGACCTTCCCCCACCGACCCGCTGGTCGCCTGTGCAGCACAACACGCCACACTATGGCTCACTCATCCCTTGTTCTTCTACCAATGCCCCTCCCATCCCGTGTGCTTCCACCCTCTCACTGCAAGAGTCACGGGGGCATGGACGTGCGGTCGGTGGCCTTCCACCCCACGTACCCGCTCTTCGCCACATGCAACAGAGGACAGGTAACTTTTGAGGCGCCTCATAAGTCAATCATTGTCTTCCTCCTATATCCTCTTGTCCACCCTCCTGCCCCCCACCCAAACCCTCTGCAGGAGTCACGGCGGCATGGACGTGCAGTCGGTGGCCTTCCACCCCACATACCCGCTGTTTGCCAGTGCAGCAGAGGACGGGTCGGCCTTTGCCTTCCACGGGATGGTCTTTGCCGACTTGCTGCAGAACCCCCTCATCGTGCCCCTCAAGATCCTCCGCGCCCCGCCTCCCCCGCAAGCCGCCTCATCTTCCTCATCCTCCTCCAGGAGTGAGTTAATGCTTTGTTTACTCGCTTTTTTATCGTCACATTAGAGACATTGGCTGGTGTCCCTCATCCTGCCCCTCATCCTGCCCTCATCCTGCCCCTCATCCTGCCCCTAAAATCCTCCGCGCCCTGCAATCCGCCTAGTATTCGTCCTCCAGAAGAGCGTTAGGTTTTGGGGTGAAGCCCGCCTTTCCTTTGCCTTTCCTTTGCCGCTCCTTTTAGCGCGACATATACCGTATGGCCTCGGATATAAGCGCCGTCCGATTAAAGGCGCCGGCGCTTCTATCTGGAGTATGGCGTTTATGGCCGATCCTCGATTAGAAGCGCACCTCCCTACAGGTGGTAGCTTATTATAAGCGCATATGCGTTATATACTAGCTATTTTTAATTCAGATTTTATAGAATTTAACATTTTTTTAAACTACTCCTAACAGGAGATGTTTTACACTAACAATTTCACCATTATTCATACTTTCCAACAGCTACTCATGTCAAACTACAGCCTAGTACAATCTACCTAGAAGCTACTCCTCGTCAGACTCGGGCTCCAGGCAGTTGTTGCCAAAAAAAGTCATCGGCGATGATGTCATCATCGACGTCGACTTCACGAGTCAACTGGTTCCGCCTGTGCGCCATGGCAAGCGAGTCCTCGCTGCCGTCAAGAGCGTTGCTGATGCCACAGGTGAGGAAGGCGCGCTTGATGAGGTCGGCGGGCACTGCCTTCCATGCCCGCGAGATCCATTTTACGACCACCGCAGGCGGCGGCTTCTTGAGGTTCCCTGCACCAACAGAACGAGAGACGGGATTTTCGTTAGTTAAAACAAGGGGGGGGGATTAAAAATTCGCAAAGCACACACGTTGATACGTTAAACAAACTTGCTGCTATCAGTCGCTCTTGGCCTTCATCCTCAAACCACTTCTGGTACTGCTGACGGGCGGAGGCCTTGAAGGACTTGTTGATAGAGACGTCGAGGGTCTGAATCTCCGCCGTACAGCCCGCCGGGACCACCGCCGGCACGATGTTGAGCTCGGCGAACTTCGCCTTCACCCCCTCAGTGAGGTGACCGCGGTAAGAGTCGAGAACCACCATCGAGCTCCTCGCCTGCCTGCCGAACCGAGGCCTTAGAAAAGGCTTGATGTACTCCTCCAGCCATCGAATGACGCCCTCGGCGTCCATCGACCCGTTCTCATGGCAAGCCACCACGACATCTGCACAATAAAAAACAAGAATGTTATTCGAGGGTGATATAAAACAACGAATCAACACTTGACAACAACATGTCTTACCGGGGGGAAATCTCCCTTCGGCACTGTCTTGCGCTTGAAAAACACCCACGGCTTGAGCTTCACCCCGTCCGCCGTGCACGCCAGCATCACGGTCACGCGCTCCTTCTGGTACCCCGCACTCCGGATGGGCACCGACCGAACGCTTGTCTGTTCCACGGTGGTGGTGGCGGGCATCTCCAGCCACAGCGGCGTCTGGTCGGCGTTGATGATCCATGTGGTCTCGATGCCACACTCACGCCGCTTGTCGCGGACGAACTGCCAAAACTTTCGGCACAACTCCGCGACATCGGTGAAACACTCCAGACAAAAGGGGGAAACCGATGGATTAGTACACACTTAGCAATAAACCACACAGGCGGATTTTAATGCTTACGGGCGGCAGTTTTCTGGTCAACTCTCGTCTTCATCCAAACGCTCAGATTCCACCGCTTCCGAAACCGTTCCGACCACCGCTGGCTGCCCTTCCACTTCACGAGGGGGTAGAGCAGTTTCATGAACTCGTGCGACCACTCCTGCAGACGGCCGACGAAGACGGCAGTTCTCTTGCGGCGCCACTCCAGTAGCTTCTCGTACACCTTCAGTTCCATCGGGCGCTACCAAGAAGACCTTCCGCGGCCATGCATGCGCTTCCGAGCGGAGTAAACTTCCTTGAGAAAGTCGGCGGCACGCATCCACTCTGTGAGACACTTTCGGTGGATGCCGCTTTCGCGAGACAACGAGCGCACCGACACTCCCACATCCAGCCGCGCGACCCACTGCAGTTTTTCTTGCGCAGTATAAGCTTGCAGCTTATGCTAGTTGACTTTGTTCTTAGGAGAGGGGGGGCGGGCATCACGGTTCTCAGCAGAAGGGTGAGGTCGTTTGCGGTTAATTGGAGGATAAGTTGGAATTGGGAGTTTCTCGGGGAGCCCATCGCGAGACCAGTATTCGACGCCGTCGTCGTCGGCGCCAGGCACACCCTCGGGAAACACGTCGGCCGCGGTGCCAGGCTCGGTTCCAGTCTCCGTGGCAGCCTCGGCGCCGTTGTCGCTCTCGGCCAACCTTCCTCCTCGTCGTCGGCCACATCGTCGTCAGCGCTGACTGCAGATTCGTCCTACGAGCAATCTTCGGGCTGGCCCCATCGTGGTGCTGGAGTCGGAGCCGGTACGTACACATCTGGCGGCTTGTTGTTGCCCTGTTCCGACAGGTACTCGTCGAAAGCCGATGGGAGCAGGAGCGTGAGCACTGGCTGATTGCCCGTGGGTTGAGGAAACGCCACATACGGAGGAGCAGGAGGAGCGGGAGGAGCAGGAGGCGCAGGAGGAGCAGGAGGCGCAGGAGGAGCAGGAGGCTGTGGTGGCTCTGGTGGTGATGGTGGGATACGGGTATACCACCCGTCAGCGTCAACTCTATACGCGGGCCTACTGGTAGGTTTCTTCTTGTAAGGAAAGTGTGTGGCTGTGAATTCCGCCATGGTTTTTGCAGCCAGGCGGGCGAGAACGAGAAACTGAATGGAAAACTGAAAGCACGACTGAACAAATGAAAGATTGGAGGGGACCCCTTCGGGGTAGCGGCTCGGGGTCCTCGTCAATGAAGGACGGGAACCCGCCCTGCCTGAACCCGCAGAGGAGGGTTCATGGCACCAGACGTGCTGTGCTGGCAGGCATACTCCACGCCCTTCGAGAGGGTTCGGATGAGCGGTCCTGCCTGGCAGCGCATGACAACCCTATTGTGCCGCACGGCTGGTTTTGCGTCAGTGTTGGCAGGTGCGTTGTTCCGGGACGTGAAGTGTGCGGTGGGAAAAAAGAATCGCGGCAATTTTCGCCGGGATTCCATGCATGATCCCACGTGAATGGCACATAGTTGTGTTTGCCTTATTGCGGGCTTCATTTTGGTACCCTTACAAACAAATTTCATTTTTTACATTATACAGGAACGGCGCTTGTTACTCGATTACATGCGCACCCCATAAAATACGAGATTTTATTATAAGCGCATATTCGCTACTATCCGGGGCCATTGTCTCACAGCAGGACTGCCATGTCATCCTGATCATGCCACGTCACCCACGGCCTATCTCCTGGCGTGCCTTGTCGCTATCATTGTTCTCGTGTTCCTCCCTGCTCTCATTCCTCCTCAACCTGTCAACCCTTTCCTCCCTTCTCATCAACCCTCTGGCTCTTCACTGTGTGTGCAGGCCTGTACGCATGTGCCTTCCACCCCTCCCAGCCATGGCTCTTCACAGCAGGTGCTGACTGCTCAGTCACACTCTTCACACACTGATTCCCTGCTCTGTGTTCCGCTGTTCTCTGCTCTGCTCTGCAAGAAGCACTGTAATACATAAATACAGTCTCCTGCAATCAGTCAGGTGGAATGGATGGAGGTCAACGTGGAGCATTTACCCAGAGCCATCAATGGTTTAATAGTGAATTCTTACCCAGCTGGTCACACCTGACCAGGCCTTCCATGGAATGCGCAATCAATGTAGGTATAAGCGCCTCCTCAGCAATAATGTCAAAATAACGCAACCACCCTTTCTCTATGCCCTTTGCAAGGGGCGTTGCAACTAATCGGGTATCGCTGCTTGCAATACACTCTAGGGTCAACACAACAAGGCTAGGCTTCTAGCCTATTTGACTTCCTCGTAGTCATCGTCTGCGCTCTCCTCTTTGAATTCTTGTAGCTGTAGTAGGCAAATTGGCAGAGGATCTGCACCATGCAGCATGACACACACACAAGGGATATGGATTAGCGAGACATGATGTCATAAAACACGTCATGATGTGCAAATGCCTTCTTTTGAAAGGTGCTTCTGAAAGAGGTGTGAAGGACTATAGAGAGGTGTGGGGGACTATACAGAGGTGTGAGGGACTATAAAGAAGTGTGGGGGCTTACAAAGAGGTCGAGCAGCACGCAGACAGCAGCATCAACAAGCCATGGCATGTTGGGCTTGATGTGTCGCCACTCCATGCTGCGCGCCAGAATGCTGTTGATGTGTGTGGATGGGAGGGGGTGGGAAGAGGGGAGGGTTTGTGTAAAAAGCCGCGATGTGTTTGATGTGACATGAAGCACGTTGGGCTGGGCTTGATGTGTCGCCACTCCATGCTGCGCGCCAATATGCTGTAACGCTGTTGATGTGCAGTGCAGGGGGGGAAGGAGAAGGGAAGAATGGGGGGTGGGCTTGATGAGAGCCACATGTCATGGTGGGCTTGATGTGACGCCACTCCATGCAATGGTAGGATGAGAAGAAAGAAAGAAACATTGAGAGGAGAGGTAGGCGACCGTGACATTTCTGAGAATTCTCAAAGGTAAAGCTGCACGTGACGACTCAATGGCTGCCCTAAGAGCTGCCAGCACATTTACCCAGGTCTCAGCTTCAGGTTTCTCACCTCCAGACTCTCAAATAGACCTCAACTATCAAACAGACTGACGGACTCACCTGCCAGCTTAGGTGGCTGGCACCCAGCCTCGCAGATAAACCAGAAACCCTGGACGAGTTGACGAGTTGACAGGCACGTAGATGCCTGGCCCCTCTGCCTGCTGATGTAGGTGGCATTGTCTTTTGAGGCGCCTCAAAAGACGACTTGAAGAGTTGACAGGCACGTAGATGCCTGGCCTGGCCCCTCACCTGCCGACGTAGGTGGCGTTGCCAACCAGCGCAAAGAGGAACATGAGCGGGCTGAGTCCCTCCACCGTGCCGCGCTGGATCTGCATGCACATGAGGGGAGACCAAGGGGCAGCAGAGGGTGCATGCATGGTTAAGGATGTACGTTGAAGTGTCGCAACGTGCAGCATGCAGAAGACGAACACGAGTGGGGTGATCCCCTCCACTGTTCCGCGCTGGATCTGCATGCAGACGAGGGGAGACCAAGGGGAGGGGGGATGGGTGATGATGAGGAATGTACCATTGGGGTGCTGCAACAATACTGGATTCACTTTTGGGGATTCTTGAAAGGAGGGTGTGTGGTCCCGCAACAAGCAGCATGCACCGAGTTTCAGCACAGCAGCATGCACCGAGTTTCAACACAGCAGCATGCACCGAGTTTCAACACAGCAGCATGCACCGAGTTTCAACACAGAAGCATGCACCGAGTTTCAACACAGCAGCATGCACCGAGTTTCAACACAGAAGCATGCACCGAGTTTCAACACAGCAGCATGCACCGAGTTTCAACACAGCAGCATGCACTGATGTGCATACACCAACGGGAACACACATTGAGGTAGATCTGTGGGATGCGTCCGTCAACGTATATGGCCGCCATGAGCCACCCCAGCAGCTGGGAAGTCTTAGAGTCAACTCCAACGCCACCTCACTGGCTTTACATACAGGCAACTCAAACGTCACCCCAATGACGTCCCCGCATACGTACATTGAGGTAGATCTGCGGGATACGCCCGCCCATGTAAATGGCCGCCATGAGCCACCCCAGCAGCTCCCCCAGCGCACTCGGCTCCTCGTCATCGCCTGGCGGGAGGGGGAAGAGAGGGGGGGAGGGTGTGGGTGGGGAGCAGCAAGACAAGAGCAGGTGAAGGATGGGAATACGGTGAGGAAAAGAGAGTGTGAGATGCTGGTACAGTGCGGTGGTGTGGTGGAGGGTGGTGGAGATGGTATGGGTCGATTAGGACTTACCATCCATCAGCAGGTGTTGAGAGAACAGTCCGTGTGTGTTGGCCTGAAAACACCGGGGGGCATGGCATGGCAAGAGTGCAAAGACAGAGCATCAATAGCAAGCCAAGGAGAAACTCAGTCACAAGTCAGGCTTGGCGAGACTTCCTATAGCATGAGAGCCTGAGCCTGCTTGGAGAGAGTCATGGCACTTAGCAGGCTCGCATGAGCAGCAAGAAGCATTGCATGTACGCTTATGCGAATGGAGGTGACAACAGGGGAGAGTAGACCCATGATTTTTGAATGACAAACAAAGGGGTGATGGATGAGGAAGTATGCATATGGTACCAAGCCCGCTCATGCACTTTTGACATGCACATGGTCTTTCTCCACAAAACTTGTGCTGGCTACGTTACAAGAAAAGGTTGTTAGATACAAGCCGACCCCAATACAAGCAGACTGTGACTCGTGAAGCCGAGTCTCATGAAGAAAAAATCTCACCTGCAGCAGTCGGCGGCGCATGGAAAAGACTTGGGCAGGCAGATGGTAGGATTCAAGGCCAGGATCAGCAGAGGAGGGGGGGGAGGAGGAGAGTGAGGGGAAGAGAGAGGAGAGCGGGGAGGTGGAGGAGGAGGTGAAGGTGGGGGTTGAATGGTGGGGAGCAGAGGCGAGGTGGCTGGGAGTGGAGGCAGAGAAGAGGGAGTGAGAGAGGGAGCCGATGCGCAAGCAGCCCACCAGTAGCATGCCAAATGCCACCTGTGGGGTGGGGAAGAGGGTGGGAGGGAGGGGGGAGCAGGAGGGCAGGAGGGATGAGGAGGAGGGCAGGAGGGATGAGGAGGAGGGCAGGAGGGCAGAGGGGCAGGAGGGCAGGAGGGCAGGAGGGCAGGAGGGCAGGAGGGCAGGAGGGCAGGAGGAGCCCAGGAAAGCAGTAGGACAGGACGGCAAGAGGAGAGCTGGAGGGCAGTAGGGCAGGAAAAGAAAACTTAAAAGGGAGGAAAAGGAGATGACGAGAGAGGGAGGGGCACACACATGGCATGGACACGTGAAAGGATGTTCCTCGACTCGGCCAGGTCAAGGGTACGGAACTGACTACGATTATAGTATCAGAGGGGAGCCCCCTCCAGAAAACTTTAGAGTATGGCTAGTGTCCTGTGTATTGCGTCACCACCACCAGGAGTGTTACCAGGCGTGTCAAACCGTGAGGGAGGCGAGGGGAGCTCGCGGCGCGGGTGGCTGGCGGGGCTGCTTCCAAGGCACCTGAAAAAAGGACTCACAGCGCGGGTGACGGGGCTGTTGTTGCGCAGGGAGATGTGCGGCACACCCTGGCCGGGCGACTGGCTGAGCAGCGACCCCACGTGGTGCGGCGTATGGCGGGAGTGCAGTGAGTGCGGGTGGTGGTGCCCGTGTGACCCCGGCACGAATGAGCCCATGGTGGGCGTGTGGCAGCTCACTAGCGACCGCGCAGAACTAGTGAGGGGTGGGGGAGGAGAGGTGAGGGGAGGGGAAAGGGAGGTAGGGTAGAGACAGCATCGAAGTGAGAAGAAGGCAGGCATGAAAGGACGTGGATAAAGACGTGTGACAGGAAGAGCACGGCACGAATGAGCCGCAACCGAGCAGAGCTGGTGTGAAATGGGAGAGTCGGGGAAAAAAGCGGCCTTAACATTCCGCACCAGGACGTCATAGGTCAGGAGAAGACGGAGGGAGAGCAACGCTGGAGGGCAGCGAGGGAGGGCAGCGAGGTTGAGCAGCAAGGGAGATAAGGCAAGCAGGGACTGACTGGATGTGGATGTCGCGGTGGGAGGACTTTCGGCTAAGCGGCACGGAGAGGATCTCTGAGCGCGGGGCCACGGGGATGGGCACGCCCTGAGGCACCCCCACTGGCACTGACGGCGCCTGCTGCTGCTGCTGCCCTTGTAACAGAGGAGTCTGCGGGTGGGAGGAAGGGAAAGAGACGAGAGAGGAACGAGATGTGGCTAGAGCAAGGAACTGGGAAGTGAAGAGGGGGGATTTTGAGGGGGTCCTTTGTTCCTTGTGGATGAGGGTTTATCTACTCTAATTTGCTGTGGTCTGGTCTGATTTGATCTTATCTACTCTATCTGATCTGATCTGACCTGCTCTGTTTGGCTCTGATTTTCTCTGATCCGATCTGTTCTGATTTAATCCGCACAAAACTTCTCTGATCTGATCTGGACAAGAATGCCTCCGATTAACCCTTGTGAGTTTGCTGTACAGATTCGCCGAGCTTTTGATCTTGGCATGGCATGGCATGGCATGGCATGAGATCCTTCCTTCCTTTGATCCCAGTGGTGAGTTCAACAGTTAGCTACGCAAACACTCCTCCGTTCAACTGCGCACCCATCCCGGCCAAATTCCCACCCCATCCACTCCACCCACCTGCAGAGTGACAGCCGTGATGCTGCTGGCGCTGATGCTGTCCTGCACTGCAGCGCCGCCATCCTCCTGCTCGCCATCGTCCTCCACCACCTCCTTGTGCGGCACCAGCACCTAGTAGCACATCTTCTGCGTTTTGAAACGTCTCAAAACTCCACCAGCACCTCACTCATAGAACACCGTCTGCCGCATCAGCATCCACCAATCCAGTCCCTACGGACCAACCACCCACCCACCTGCAGAGTGACAGCCGTGGTGCTGCTGGCGCTGATGCTGTCCTGCACTGCAGTTCCCCCGTCCTCCTGCTCGTCCTCGTCCTCCACCACCTCCTTGTGCGGCACCAGCACCTCATAATACACCGTCTGCGCCACCAGCACTATCGTTGTTATCGTGTACATCTGGTGGGAGTGTTGGCGGTCGTGGTTGTGGTGTTTTGAGGTAGGGAAAGGGAAAGGAATGTGGGAGGAAAGAGGAAATGAGAGTTTCGCAAGAGGCTCCTGGAGACATGTGAGCTTGAGAGGAGCGCTTATGGGAGAAATACGGGAAAGACAAAGTATAGAGCAAGTAAGCAAACAAACAAAATAACACTGACGAAGGACTTCAGAGGATTTGGGCGAAGGGACAAAGGTGCACAGTATTTTTCATTCGGCATTCAGCATGGACATCGAGAAAGGAGGTCTAGGATGGAAGGCACTGGAAGGAGCACAGCCCACGAGAAGGAATGAATGTCGTACCAGAGCCATGTAGTACTGCGTTGGGAGCTGCACATTCACAAGCAAGGGTTGGACAGAGAGGAAGACAAGCAGATAGTACACGTAAGCGGTTATGCTGGAAAAATGGAAGCTCATGCTGACTTCTTGGCAGGTGCTGCTATCGCCAGGTGACGAGAAGAATAACAAAGAATTAAGCTCTAGCCCTACCTACTCACTCAGGGGCCTGTGACTTTTGACTCCTCTGTAAACTCAATGCTTACCGTTGCAGGCTCCAGGTAACATCCGGCCAAATTAAAGACGTCCCTGTGAAAGACAAGTGGAAACAGGGTTCAGGAATAGGACCGCAAATGGTTGGTGTGAGATCGGGCTACAGTAAAGTACTTGTGGGACAGAAAAGGCGGGTGCTCAGGTTGGAGCACGCACAAGCCATGAACGCGAGTATTGTGAGTGGGGGGTGAAGGAAGGTATAGAAGAGAGGAGAATGGGTAGAAACGGATTTAGAGAACAAAGACAGCACAGGATGATGAGGAGCGAAGCGAAGCGTGAGAAGAACGACAGACATCTGAAGTGAGGCCAAATCAGCTCATAGTCCATGCTACATTGTCTTTCTGACGGTCAAGGTCACGAGAACGGGAAGAAACTGGCTGTCAAGAATCAGTTCTCAGTTCCACCACGCGCGGGTTTGAATTGGATCTACACTCTCCTGATGGCAAATCTCATCAGCCGACAGTTCAAGTCATCTCACCCACAGTCCTAGTCATCTCACCCGACCGTCCACGTCATCTCACCCGACAGTCCACGTCATGAGGAATGCGAGCGAAACGCCCTCGGTGCTGCCAGCGAAGAAGTTGGTAACAATCTGCGGAATCTCAGCTACACCCCAGGCGACGACGCTCATCATGCCCAGCGTGAACGAAACCCCGTCGCGAAAGTTACACACGCAGTCGCCAAAGTAGCGGTGGACCCAAATGAGACACTGCAGGAGAGGAAGATACGAGGCAGGTTGGAATGAAGCAAATGCTTTTTCAGCCGACTCGGAATTCGTTAAAAGTAATGGCGGGCCCAAATGAAACACCGCAGTAAAGAAGGAGACGATCCAGGATAGGATGATGCATTATCATGCAGCAGAAGCGGCTCTCAAGTCGGGCATTCAGAAGGTGGAACGGAGGGCGAGAGTGAGATGGGAAGATCTGTGAATCCTTGCACAAGCACAAGTACTGCTCCAACGAGGACCTGTATGAGGATGAGCGTAAAATATGAGACATGGTTCGAGTGATCAATGCGCAGCGACGAGCATCGATCAGGCTCAGACCGGCCGGTGCAGATGGTTGACTACAGTAAGAGTCAAGTCGCAGTGCGCGACAATGAACAAACAGCCCGTGACACAAATGATCGAAAAAGATTCCACCCTGAAACAAGCAAACTAACACTCCAAGCAGCGACGATCAAGTTATTCAACTGTTCATATTCCGTGAAAATTCGTCGCTCGTTAGGTTCCCGTTAGTCCAGCGTTCTCAGGATCACAAAGCGAAATGAAAAAAAGCCCGAGCTACATCAATGAAGCGACATACGTGCAATTCCGCAGGGCAGGATTCTCTTGGACCACCAAGCGTCCATGGCAACGTCGCGTTCGCCATTGAGCCAACCCTGGCTGGCTGCACCTCCCAGTCCTTAACAGAACTATTCTTGAGCAATATAACAACAAGATTAAAGAGGAAGAAATGAACACTGAAGCAATGGCTTCGCGAATCCCTCGAAGATAACGAGGTGGTCAGATGATCTCGAGGGAATAAGTTGGGTTGGGGGAGCTGGTGCGCAGGAAAAGCCAGCATGCTCAGGAACTTGTGGCTGTGGTTGAGGCGAAGCTAGGTGGCAGTGGCAACTCCAAGGGAAGCCGCCAGGTTGGGATGGGACAGGATGGGGAGCATTGTGATTTCGCAAATGCATCTCGTGTTACCTTCGCGAACAAGCGTGCCAATCAGTGCCATGCAATCGCTTTTTGAGAATGCGGTCATATGGTCATGCTTCCCACAATGCCCCACGTTTCCAGTGTACAAACGATCTGTCTGTCTGTTACCAAGGAGTCTGGTTTGAGGGTTAGCTTTGCCTTCTTGGGGATTGTCAAAACCTGGACCATCCGTAACCTTCTCGCAGGCCCAACCATCCATCCATAACCATTCATACCCTTAACTCTCAGACGTGCCATTTACATACACACTTATTGCCGCCATTACCTCAAAGTATCAATTACCTCGGCTCTGGGTGTGGAAAGGAGAACTAGTCTCTTCCTTCGAGCTGCCACTGTTAATTTCCTAAATCCACGTGGTAAAACAGCCATACAGCAACAACCTTTGGACCACGAGGACCACGTGGCACATGAGAAAGGGAAAGGAATGTACCTTTTTTCAATGGTTACCACCCACTTCATCGCCAAACGTTCGCTTGTGCCGAAGTGGGTGCGGCGGCGCCGAGATTGGACCACGCTGGCAATGCAGCGGTGCTCGCCACGAGAGATACATACCCGGATAGTAAGTAGCCCGTTATGCTGCAGAAGCTCGTTCAAAAGGATGTCCCATAAAGGAAGCGATCCATACAGAGCAGGCTAATCTTGGGAGTCACGTATGGTCTCTTCTCTAGACTTAGGATGTATAGCAGGGTGTACATGCAACAAATGGGACATGTTGCTTAGATTAGATAATACAGCAACTATTTCTCTGCTGGAACAAATATCTTTATGTTTCATCTCCCATAATGGTAGTCTCAACCCAAGCAAATGCCCTAGATGACAAAAAACTAAAAACTGACAAGAAGCTATACTTGGAGGCTGGTAACCTAGACCTTCTTCTCCCACTGGAAACCTCTATAAAACGGCTGGCCGTACAGCTCAAATGGAAGAGGAAGCGTTGAAGCAGGAGGATTAAAACGAGCTCCTGAAGGGTCAGGGAATGCTTGCCAAACAGGAGACTGGCTGTTGTGGAAGCTGCATCCAAGCACCAAGTGCGGCTCTGATGAATGTTCTGAGTGGTTAACACCTGGCAAGGTGCCAGGGAAGGAAAGGAAAAAAGGGGTTTAGGGCACGGGGTTTTGATATTGGCATTCATGAGACGAGCAATGGAGGAAGAGAGCATCGTGAAATGCAAAACGCTGGCACTTACATGTAGTGAGCTTTACTCACCCTGTGCAGCGGTTGCTGCTTGCCGAGGCTTCTGCAAGCACTCTGCAGCAGACCCTGAGACAGGGCCTTCAGGAACCACGTCCATGCTGCAGGCAGACGACGCTTGGTTCCCCATAGCGTCAGTGCAAACTTTATTCTTTCTTTCTCTTGATTTTTTAGGCAACTCAAAAGGACGCTGTAAAGGCAGCGCAAGGGTTTAGGGTTGATGGGTGCGGCGAGAAAGTTCACCACCATGGCTGGCTGCAGCTTCTTGTTTCCCGCCGCCCGCTCATCACACCATGCGCTCACACTCGCTCACGATGTGCGTGCCTGCTGGGTGGTGCGGGGTGTTGCGGGGTGGCACATCAGCATGTGAGGGAGGCGATGAAATGTGGGGAATGGGGGAAGGAACGAGGGGAGGGGAGGGGGGAGAGAAGGACAGAAGGGAGGAGGGGGTGGTGGGGGGGGGGGGGGGGGAGGGGGGGTGATTGAGAAAAGGAATCAGCGCCTCAGAGAGAAGAAGAGTCGGCAATGCGCCAAGGGAGTATCGATCGTTTTTTCTCGTTCTAACCCCCCGTCAACGATTTTTCCCTCTCCTTACCCGTTGATGCCTAACCACCATTCAGAGCAGAAGTGATAAACAGGGGGGTTGGGGCGAGGGGAGGCACAGGGGCGATGCGCGCCAGATGGGGCATGGGAGGCGCAAGGAGCGAGCGGCGGAACCAGTGCGAGCGGGGAGGGGCGGGGGGGGGCGGAGAGACGTTGCGGATTGAGGGTCTGCAGAATGCACGGCGGGAACAAGAGGCAACAGCGGCAAAGGGCGAGGGGCGAGGGGCGAGTGGGGAGGGGAGGAGGGAGGCGGGGAGACGTTGCGGATTGAGGGTCTGCAGAATGCACGGGAGAGGCCACAGCGGCAAAGGGCGAGGGACGAGGGGCGAGGGGCGAGGGCCAAGGGGCGAGGGGCGAGGGGCGAGGGGCGAGACAGGAGGGGCGAGGCGAGCGTTGCTTCCGGGTCGTGAGGACCCGTCGCGGCAAGTCGCGGGCTCACACGTATGTTTCCCCCCACAGGTGGCAGAGCTACGTTGCTTCATTCGCCCGCACCTGCAGCAGCATGTACCAGTAGTTGAAATTCCAAGTTTTGAGGCCCCTCAAAACCAGGCGCCTCAAAACCAGGCACCTCAAAACCAGCCCCCTCACAGACCACAGAGCTGCGTCCACGGCTCGCACCTGCGGCATGTATTCGTCGTAGATTTCTTCGCGAACGGCGCCCTCACGCGAAACGACAGCGGGCTTGCGTTACGATTTATCCCTCACGACGCTGAGCGACATACTGCAGCTGGAACGGGAACTCGGCGAGCAGAAATGTAACACTGATGACGTCCTCGCTTAAGAGCTCCCGGTTTACCGACAGTTACGTTGTATGGAACCAGTGGGAATGACGGGACTAAAGTTGATAAGGTAACTCTATAGGGAGGTGAATAATATTTCGTATGAATGTGCCCAACCAGCTTCCACCTAAACGTTGATAGATAATCTTGGCATCAAACAATCCTAGAGTAAAAAACGGCGGAAGGAACTATCAAAACTTCGTTTCACAACATGCTACACACTATTGCAATGCGCGCACGACAACAAGTTTCGCATGCGCATGAATTACCGTATCGGCCTAGGTATCTAAATCAACGCCCCTCTTCCCCCTCCTCCCCCCTTCACTTCCAGCCAGCCAATTTCCTCCATCACATTCAACCCATCTCTCGAATCTGTACGCACTTCCTCCCACTATTCATCCATTTTATCCATCCTCCTCATTCATACACTATAATAATGAAATTCCACAAAAAAATCCTGCTTACACACAACCATGCATGGAAAGGCACTGTGTTTTTTAGCTTCAGAAAACACCACCTGAATGCGGGCCCACACACAATTGTGCATGGCACTACAGGTGATGGTCATATCAAAGCATAGCGCATCTCCCGCACAATTCCACACTCCACCGTCCTTCCCCCAGTTCCTGCTCCCTCTGCTCCCTTTTGCTGATCCTGCACACCCCCGGAGGGCCAAACCACTTCCAAAAAGGAGCAGAGGCCAGATCTCTGCTGCTCCCTTTACACACATTTTAGGCCCCCCTACACCCTCTCTACACCCTCCACCACCCGCCACCTTCCTTCCCACCCTCACAAGGGCGCTTTCCCCCTCCCCTCGTCTCCTCACCTACAAACCTACAAGGCAAAAACTCAAGCTTGCTCTTTGTCTCCTCGCTGTTTAACTTGCTCCGAGGCAAGGCAGCACATGAAGACCCACAAATCACAGCATTTCACGCGCCATCCCGCTGCTGCTCGCCATCCCGCTGCTACTAGCCATCCCGCTGTCTTTTTTTTCATCCACCAGAAACTGCCTCCTTGCTCCCTCCAACGGCACCACATGCACACACCCTAAACCACGCCAATTTCCCCACCATCCCCCTGCCGTTGGCAATCCCTCTGCTGCTAGTCAGCTTCTCTCCTCCATAGATCTCTCGGCAGGTGTCTCTCCCCTTCCTACCTGCTGCACTCGCAGCCGCTGCAACACCCCCTCAAAACACTAGAGTGGTGGAGAGTGATGCAGAGAGGCTTGGAGAGGGACATGTGCACCACATCCCCTGTGGGCCTGAGCCATAAACCCTCCCACCTCATTCACGTCCCATGGTCTCCTCTCATAAATTCTCACACTCCACCTCCTCTCCCTCATCTATGCCCCCCCGAATGCCTGGGAGTGCGGGGCGACTTGGGAGACTTAGGCGACTTGCTGGGAGACTTGGGGGTTTTGGGAGTTTTAGGGGTTTTGCTCCGCTCCTCCTTCTCCTCCTCCTCCTCCTCCTCCTCCTCCTCCTCCTCCTCCTCATCCTCCTCTGCGGTGCCCACCCATCCCACATACGCGAAAAGGAACTCCTTGAACGTGCACTGCCCGTCCGTGTTGTAATCCATCTCCGCTGGTGGTGGGAGGAGGGTGAGGGAGTGAGTGACGAATGAGTGTGTGAGCATGCGAGAGGGACAGCGAAAGTGAGAAACGAGAGTATGAGGTGAGCAGAAGGTCCAGCAGGTGCTTCTTGAACGTGCACTGCCCGTCCGTGTTGTAACCCATCTCAGCTGCAGGTGGGTGAGAGGGAGGGAGAGTGAATGTGCGTGAAGAAGTGAGGGAACGAGGGGACGAGGGGACGAGGTAAGAGGAAGACAAAGAGGAAGGGAGACAGCGAGATGGGCGATCAGGAACTCTTTGAATGTGCACTGCCCGTCCGTGCTGTAGTCCATGTCAGATGGTGGGTGGGTAAGGGGGAGTGTGGGTGTGTAAGATTGCGAACGTGCACTGCCCGTCGGTGTTGTAGTCCATCTCGGCTGGTAAAGGGGGTTGAGCGAGTGTGAGGGAGAGAAAGTGTGCATGTTAGAGAGAATGAGAGTAAGGGAGGCAGAGAAACAGGCAATTTGGAACTCCTTGAATGTGCACTGCTCGTTTGTGTTGTTCATCTTGGAGAACAACACCAGCAGCATCAGAAGGAGCACCAGCAGTAGCAGCAGCAGTAGAAGACGTCTCTCTACCAGCAGCAGCACATCTACTGTTCCTCCTATCCCACACCCACAGAGTGTGCACCGAGTCGTCGCTGTTGCAGCAAAGCCAGTCCCACGCCCACGCCCACCCTATTTTATTGCTGTCATTTCTGCTTCTGCAATTCCCTCAAGCCCCCTTGTCCTTTGAGGGGGGAGAGAACCGTGCGCCATGCCAAAAGGCAAGGGGGCTTGAGGGAACGGCAGAAGCAGAAATGACAGCAACGACAGCGATAGCAACGACAGTGACAGCAATAACATGGGGGTGGGCGTGGGCGTGGGACTGGCTCTGCTGCAACAACAACAACAACACGGTGCACTCACTCTGTGGGTGTGGGACAAGAGGAACAGTAGATGTGCTGCTGCTGGTAGAGAGACGTCTTCTGTCGCTGCTACTGGTGGTGCTCCTCCTGATGCGGCTGCTACATGAGGTAATGGTGATTAGGGCTTGAGTGAGTGAGTTGTGAAAGGGAGAATCAAAGCGAGAACGAGAGGAAAGGAGAAAGAGAGATAGGCAAACATAAACTCATTGACAATACTGCCTCTGCTCGCACGGCCTCCTTGCACCCTCTCCTCTGACGCATTTTTCTGACCCTCTCCTCTCTCACCCACACCATCCCCAGCGCTCACCAAATCTCTGCCCGGAGGAGGAGTCCAACCGCTGCTCATGGCGTGCTGCACTTTGGCCTGCGCGAGGAAGCTGTTCCCTGTGTGAACCTACTCCTTTACAGCCCCGGGCTCACCAAATCTCTGCCCAGCAATGCGGCTGGGGGAGGAATCTCTGCCGCTGCTCACGGCGGCCTGCACCTTGGCCTGCGTGAGAAATCCTTCCCCCTGCGACCCTACTGCCTTACAGCGCGCACCCACTCCCCTCTCCCACTGCTCACCAAATCTCTGCCCAGCAATGCGGCTGGGGGAGGAGTCTCTGCCAGTGGTCATGGCGGCCTGCACCTTAGCCCGCGTGAGAAAGCCCTCCCCCGTAGTGTCAAAGAAGTTGAACGCGTCCGCTATCAGCCCAAACGCGTCCTCCACCTCTGGTGTGCCAAAGTGCGCCTGAAAGGGGGGGCAGGAAGCAGCAAGGGAGCACCAAGGGAACAGCTTGGCGGATGCGCACCACGAAGGAAGCGAGAAACCTCCCCCCCTCCCCTCCCCCGTGGTGTCAAAGAAGTTGAACGCGTCTGCTATCAGCCCAAACGCCTCCTCCACCTCTGGTGTACCGAAGTGCGCCTGGTGAGGTAGAGATGGGATGGGAAGGGAGCATGTGAAGTGAAGCAAGTGAATGAGGGAGAATATGAAGGAAGCACTACTGATGGAGGTCATATCTGAAGGGAGCACTACTGATGGAGGTCATATCTGAAGGGAGCACTACTGATGGAGGTCATATCTGAAGGGAGCACTACTGATGGAGGTCATATCTGAAGGGAGCACTACTGATGGAGGTCATATCTGAAGGGAGCACTACTGATGGAGGTCATATCTGAAGGGAGCACTACTGATGGAGGTCATATCTGAAGGGAGCACTACTGATGGAGGTCATATCTGAAGGGAGCACTACTGATGGAGGTCATATCTGAAGGGAGCACTACTGATGGAGGTCATATCTGAAGGGAGCACTACTGATGGAGGTCATATCTGAAGGGAGCACTACTGATGGAGGTCATATCTGAAGGGAGCACTACTGATGGAGGTCATATCTGAAGGGAGCACTACTGATGGAGGTCATATCTGAAGGGAGCACTACTGATGGAGGTCATATCTGAAGGGAGCACTACTGATGGAGGTCATATCTGAAGGGAGCACTACTGATGGAGGTCATATCTGAAGGGAGCACTACTGATGGAGGTCATATCTGAAGGGAGCACTACTGATGGAGGTCATATCTGAAGGGAGCACTACTGATGGAGGTCATATCTGAAGGGAGCACTACTGATGGAGGTCATATCTGAAGGGAGCACTACTGATGGAGGTCATATCTGAAGGGAGCACTACTGATGGAGGTCATATCTGAAGGGAGCACTACTGATGGAGGTCATATCTGAAGGGAGCACTACTGATGGAGGTCATATCTGAAGGGAGCACTACTGATGGAGGTCATATCTGAAGGGAGCACTACTGATGGAGGTCATATCTGAAGGGAGCACTACTGATGGAGGTCATATCTGAAGGGAGCACTACTGATGGAGGTCATATCTGAAGGGAGCACTACTGATGGAGGTCATATCTGAAGGGAGCACTACTGATGGAGGTCATATCTGAAGGGAGCACTACTGATGGAGGTCATATCTGAAGGGAGCACTACTGATGGAGGTCATATCTGAAGGGAGCACTACTGATGGAGGTCATATCTGAAGGGAGCACTACTGATGGAGGTCATATCTGAAGGGAGCACTACTGATGGAGGTCATATCTGAAGGGAGCACTACTGATGGAGGTCATATCTGAAGGGAGCACTACTGATGGAGGTCATATCTGAAGGGAGCACTACTGATGGAGGTCATATCTGAAGGGAGCACTACTGATGGAGGTCATATCTGAAGGGAGCACTACTGATGGAGGTCATATCTGAAGGGAGCACTACTGATGGAGGTCATATCTGAAGGGAGCACTACTGATGGAGGTCATATCTGAAGGGAGCACTACTGATGGAGGTCATATCTGAAGGGAGCACTACTGATGGAGGTCATATCTGAAGGGAGCACTACTGATGGAGGTCATATCTGAAGGGAGCACTACTGATGGAGGTCATATCTGAAGGGAGCACTACTGATGGAGGTCATATCTGAAGGGAGCACTACTGATGGAGGTCATATCTGAAGGGAGCACTACTGATGGAGGTCATATCTGAAGGGAGCACTACTGATGGAGGTCATATCTGAAGGGAGCACTACTGATGGAGGTCATATCTGAAGGGAGCACTACTGATGGAGGTCATATCTGAAGGGAGCACTACTGATGGAGGTCATATCTGAAGGGAGCACTACTGATGGAGGTCATATCTGAAGGGAGCACTACTGATGGAGGTCATATCTGAAGGGAGCACTACTGATGGAGGTCATATCTGAAGGGAGCACTACTGATGGAGGTCATATCTGAAGGGAGCACTACTGATGGAGGTCATATCTGAAGGGAGCACTACTGATGGAGGTCATATCTGAAGGGAGCACTACTGATGGAGGTCATATCTGAAGGGAGCACTACTGATGGAGGTCATATCTGAAGGGAGCACTACTGATGGAGGTCATATCTGAAGGGAGCACTACTGATGGAGGTCATATCTGAAGGGAGCACTACTGATGGAGGTCATATCTGAAGGGAGCACTACTGATGGAGGTCATATCTGAAGGGAGCACTACTGATGGAGGTCATATCTGAAGGGAGCACTACTGATGGAGGTCATATCTGAAGGGAGCACTACTGATGGAGGTCATATCTGAAGGGAGCACTACTGATGGAGGTCATATCTGAAGGGAGCACTACTGATGGAGGTCATATCTGAAGGGAGCACTACTGATGGAGGTCATATCTGAAGGGAGCACTACTGATGGAGGTCATATCTGAAGGGAGCACTACTGATGGAGGTCATATCTGAAGGGAGCACTACTGATGGAGGTCATATCTGAAGGGAGCACTACTGATGGAGGTCATATCTGAAGGGAGCACTACTGATGGAGGTCATATCTGAAGGGAGCACTACTGATGGAGGTCATATCTGAAGGGAGCACTACTGATGGAGGTCATATCTGAAGGGAGCACTACTGATGGAGGTCATATCTGAAGGGAGCACTACTGATGGAGGTCATATCTGAAGGGAGCACTACTGATGGAGGTCATATCTGAAGGGAGCACTACTGATGGAGGTCATATCTGAAGGGAGCACTACTGATGGAGGTCATATCTGAAGGGAGCACTACTGATGGAGGTCATATCTGAAGGGAGCACTACTGATGGAGGTCATATCTGAAGGGAGCACTACTGATGGAGGTCATATCTGAAGGGAGCACTACTGATGGAGGTCATATCTGAAGGGAGCACTACTGATGGAGGTCATATCTGAAGGGAGCACTACTGATGGAGGTCATATCTGAAGGGAGCACTACTGATGGAGGTCATATCTGAAGGGAGCACTACTGATGGAGGTCATATCTGAAGGGAGCACTACTGATGGAGGTCATATCTGAAGGGAGCACTACTGATGGAGGTCATATCTGAAGGGAGCACTACTGATGGAGGTCATATCTGAAGGGAGCACTACTGATGGAGGTCATATCTGAAGGGAGCACTACTGATGGAGGTCATATCTGAAGGGAGCACTACTGATGGAGGTCATATCTGAAGGGAGCACTACTGATGGAGGTCATATCTGAAGGGAGCACTACTGATGGAGGTCATATCTGAAGGGAGCACTACTGATGGAGGTCATATCTGAAGGGAGCACTACTGATGGAGGTCATATCTGAAGGGAGCACTACTGATGGAGGTCATATCTGAAGGGAGCACTACTGATGGAGGTCATATCTGAAGGGAGCACTACTGATGGAGGTCATATCTGAAGGGAGCACTACTGATGGAGGTCATATCTGAAGGGAGCACTACTGATGGAGGTCATATCTGAAGGGAGCACTACTGATGGAGGTCATATCTGAAGGGAGCACTACTGATGGAGGTCATATCTGAAGGGAGCACTACTGATGGAGGTCATATCTGAAGGGAGCACTACTGATGGAGGTCATATCTGAAGGGAGCACTACTGATGGAGGTCATATCTGAAGGGAGCACTACTGATGGAGGTCATATCTGAAGGGAGCACTACTGATGGAGGTCATATCTGAAGGGAGCACTACTGATGGAGGTCATATCTGAAGGGAGCACTACTGATGGAGGTCATATCTGAAGGGAGCACTACTGATGGAGGTCATATCTGAAGGGAGCACTACTGATGGAGGTCATATCTGAAGGGAGCACTACTGATGGAGGTCATATCTGAAGGGAGCACTACTGATGGAGGTCATATCTGAAGGGAGCACTACTGATGGAGGTCATATCTGAAGGGAGCACTACTGATGGAGGTCATATCTGAAGGGAGCACTACTGATGGAGGTCATATCTGAAGGGAGCACTACTGATGGAGGTCATATCTGAAGGGAGCACTACTGATGGAGGTCATATCTGAAGGGAGCACTACTGATGGAGGTCATATCTGAAGGGAGCACTACTGATGGAGGTCATATCTGAAGGGAGCACTACTGATGGAGGTCATATCTGAAGGGAGCACTACTGATGGAGGTCATATCTGAAGGGAGCACTACTGATGGAGGTCATATCTGAAGGGAGCACTACTGATGGAGGTCATATCTGAAGGGAGCACTACTGATGGAGGTCATATCTGAAGGGAGCACTACTGATGGAGGTCATATCTGAAGGGAGCACTACTGATGGAGGTCATATCTGAAGGGAGCACTACTGATGGAGGTCATATCTGAAGGGAGCACTACTGATGGAGGTCATATCTGAAGGGAGCACTACTGATGGAGGTCATATCTGAAGGGAGCACTACTGATGGAGGTCATATCTGAAGGGAGCACTACTGATGGAGGTCATATCTGAAGGGAGCACTACTGATGGAGGTCATATCTGAAGGGAGCACTACTGATGGAGGTCATATCTGAAGGGAGCACTACTGATGGAGGTCATATCTGAAGGGAGCACTACTGATGGAGGTCATATCTGAAGGGAGCACTACTGATGGAGGTCATATCTGAAGGGAGCACTACTGATGGAGGTCATATCTGAAGGGAGCACTACTGATGGAGGTCATATCTGAAGGGAGCACTACTGATGGAGGTCATATCTGAAGGGAGCACTACTGATGGAGGTCATATCTGAAGGGAGCACTACTGATGGAGGTCATATCTGAAGGGAGCACTACTGATGGAGGTCATATCTGAAGGGAGCACTACTGATGGAGGTCATATCTGAAGGGAGCACTACTGATGGAGGTCATATCTGAAGGGAGCACTACTGATGGAGGTCATATCTGAAGGGAGCACTACTGA